CGAGCCACCAAGGTGGCTCGGTGGCCGAGCCACCTAGGTGGCCGGCCGAGCCACCTCTTGGTGGCTCGGTGGCCGAGCCACCAAGGTGGCTCGGCACAGTGCCGGCCACCCCGAGGTGGCCGACGGTGGCCGACACTGGCCGACACTGGCCGACAGTGGCCGACAGTGGCCAGCATTTGTTCTTTCGCGGGCACTGTTTAGAGAGCCTATAAATAGGCCTAACACGTGCACACGGGCACAGTGACGCTTGGCTATAAATAGGAGAGGGGGTTGTTCATTTTGAAGGGTTGGAAATTTTGGAGAGAGGTGAAGCCCTGCTGGATTGGAGACTCAGAACTTAACAAGATTCAAGCTTTGGGACATCAAGGACTTGCTCATCCAGATCTGGTGCTCGGCGATCATCAACGTCAAATAAGGCAGGTGTTCGAGAGGACCGGATCTCAGATCTACGCAGGCTACACTCCCGCGATTGTTTCCTTGGTGAAACAATCCTCCCCGGCTATTATTTCCTTGGTGAAATAATACCCGTCGTACTGCGTAGATCCGACCGGATCTAGATCTCGCGGTGGTCCACGGCAAACAACCCCGGCGCAGGCAAAGAACCCACCAAGCGAGCGACCGCAAAACAGGAGCTCGCGATTCGTTCGACTAAAAGGAGAAAAGTTGTAATCTTTGTTTATTTTTATTTGATTTTCGTTGTAACCGGATCTTATAAAAAGACCGGATCTTTTGTAACTCAAAAAGTTGTAACTCAAGATGACAATGGAATCAATAACAAAGAAAGCAACGAATTTTCCAGCGAACATCTGTCATCCTCGTCCGGATCGACCTCCCCCCTCAAGTCCAAGAAGTTCTCCTCCAGGAGAAAAGTCCGTTGGTATGAAGAAGTTGAGAATACCAACGAAGATCTCACCCCAATTGATGCCAAAGTTGCATCGGGTGAAGCTCCACCGACCTCCAACCAGGTCAAGCCTGTTCCTGCCAATTCCTCCGTCACTCTTTGGGTAGTGACTCTCAAAGGAGTGGTGACTCTCTCAAAGAGAGCCCGCCAAAGGCGACGTCAACGCTTGGCCCGAGAATTCGCGAAGGCAATGGAATCCACGGATGGAATCCGTTATGACGCGAATCTGAAGAACAGGAGAGGTAAACAGCCTCAACAACCAGTGAATGGCAGCTCCTCCAAGCCGCCAATGAACGAATGGATCCGTGTCAAACGGAACCGTTCGACGCTTGAAGAGTGCATTCGCAAGCGCCGTGCACTATCAGCGCAGGCACGGGCTCAAGTCCAAGAAGCCCGTAGAAGACTACAGAAGGAAGTGGCCAAAAAGCCGCCACCAACCCACCAAGTATGGAAGCCGAAGTCTGAAGTGGCGATTCAGGCTAAAGAACAATCATTGCGGCCTTCGAAGCAAGTTCAACCTCCGGCGAACCAACCTAAGTCGCCGATAATTCCCATAGCTGCTCCGAGAGATCCCGCGGGACCATCCCGAACAAGGAAGTCAGTTTTGGAGCGCCTCGGTCCACTTCCCGATGAACGATGCAAAGCTCCGCTTCAAGAACGTTTGGGCCCGATGAAGAAGCCCCGAGCGACTCAACATGCTGGGGGTCGCCTCCACCTTCAACATGACAAGGAGTTCATGGTAGCTGCGCATACTAATTTGCGCATCGAAGTCCAGGAGCCCGCTGAGAACCCACACCCAAAAAGGCATGAGTCGAGGCGTGTGACTCTTGAAGGCCCTAAAAAGGTAGTCCGTCCTCAGAGGGAAACGTCGTTGTCTGATGATGATGACGTTATACCTGAGAAGTCGTGCCGACACACGATAGGTTACTCCGACTGTCAAGCTGACGAGTTGTACTATCGTGATGGGAGTACGAGAAAAACTAGGAATAGGAGTCCTCGAGGACTAGAGACTCAATGCCCCTGTTCCAAACTCATTCGGGTAGTATTGTCTGAGTACAACTGCATCAAGACGGTCCCCGAAAGAATTTCGGTTTTCGAAAGGCTTAGTACCGAAACGCCAAAACCAAGGTCTAGGCGTTTCTGACAAAGAAGAAGGGTAGTTGAAGACGGAGAATTTCTGAGGGTCACCACTGATATGACCAGCAAAGGGACATCGATGCGGGATAATCCCGAGTCAATCCCGGAAATACCCCGGCGGATGACCCGTCTGCAGTCCGGAGCCATCATACGAGGAACTTATGGTAGGATTCGGACAAGATTACCTTCAGAAGATGAAGAATCGGATGCCTGCTCTGCTATTGCATCAGACAATACGGTATCCAGCGAGGGACAACCCCGCGAGTCGCTTATGATAAGCGCGGAACAAGTGGCCAAGATGCTCGAAGAGGCCATGGCTAAACAACAGGAGAGCTTCAGGTTCGAAATGCAGATGGCCATGCAGAACATGAGAGAAATGCATGACCAATAAATTCAAGCATTGACGAACCAGCAAGGCGAGCCAAGTCGTCGTAACCCGGTTAATCTGGAAGATGAGGACACAAATGCGAATGAGACTCATAATGCCAATAATCCTCCCATCAATGCAGGGGGTGGTAACGAGAATGCTAGTGAAAACACAGGTGAAAACTTGAAGATCAAAAACCTCGAGAGCAAAATCAATACATTGATTTCCGCTCAAGAGATGAAGAAGACGGGCATTCCTTGTCCATACCCAAGAGAATGGGAATCGATCCCGTATCCGACGAAGTTCAATCTAATTAACTTCACGCCGTTTAATAGGATGGGTTCACCCACTCAGCATTTGATTTATTTCAAATCACACCTGGGGGTTATCTCTGGTAATGAGCCTCTGATGGTACGGTCCTTCGTTGGCACTCTTCGTGGAGCCGCCTTCGATTGGTATCGCCGCCTCAAGCCAGGAAGCGTGAATAGCTGGGACGACATGAAGACTAAATTTCTCGCTAATTTCTTCGACGACGACACAGAGATATCCATCGGGTCATTGCTTGACGAGAAACAGAAAGACGGGGAATTGGTTGACACCTTTGTCAAAAGGTTCCGGAACAAGGCGATGAACTGTCGGGACCCGATCACCGAGGAATTCATTCTCCAGACTTGCCATAATAACCTCGCGTTGGACGTGTTGGAAGCAATGGGGATAGCACCGTCCAAGACATGGAAGGATTTGAAGGTCCAAGGAGAGCAAGCCGAGCGGTTCCTCAGAAGGAAGAAGGCGGAAAGAGGCCAACAGGCGAATAATGCTCCGCAACAGAATTTCGTCCCACGGGGGAAAGGTAAGGCACATGCTAATGCAGTTGATGCTAATCAAACTTTCCAATTGCAACCTCAGCAACAGCCGCAGCAACAAGCACCGCAGCAATCTCGAGGGCAATGGCAACAACGGCCTCAGAAGCAGAAATCTTCGGAGCCAAGATTTCCTAAGGTGTACTCCTTTAAAGATGACGAAGTTCCCAGCATCTTTAAGTACCTGTTAGAGAATAACAAAATCCAGCTACCAGCGATCGTGGATCAAGAAGGGGCTAGCAAAGTGACGGATCCGAAGTATTGCGCATACCATAGAGCGGTCCATCACAAGGATAAGATCCAGGCGTTAATTGATGTAGGCGTCATAACCCCGAAGCCGTCCAAGAATGTCAGAGCAAATGCGGTGTCAATCAGCTTTGGATCGGTGCCCACAGCATGGTTTGAACCAAAACGCATCACCAAAGTAGGAATGAAGATGGTGAATGATGACCCACACGGACAGTGCCAAAAAGGACTTGTGCCACACACAGCCCCAAACGGCGAAATCCTCTGGGTTCATCCCGACCTTATTGAAGACGATCAGTGGACAACTTCCTCGACCAAAAAGGGTAAAGGCAAGTCTTGCAATGCTACCTCCGTGATCTTCGAAGAGGATGGTGATGAAGCTCCTACCTTTCCGCTCTCCGAAGAAGAACAAGAAGTCTTTGCCACTAGAAGCGGAAATGAGTATCACTACAATTATCCGTCACCTAGTGATCAAGGGGTGAC